ACAAACATTAGATAGATAGATAGATGGATGGATGGATGGATGAATGCATAGGTACATAGATAGATAGATATATTCATATATAGAGAGAGAGACTTGAGAGGAGGGAGACACGAAAGGTAGGACAGCGGGAAGAGAAGAGAACGCGAGAGGCAGGAACAAAAATGCAATGTTCGACATGGTGATTTATCCCCTTGGAGGCGACCTTTCGTAAATATATGTTCATATGCACTCTAAATGTTCAAACATATGCCCTCGAAATGTTCAAAAAGATTCTTAGGAAAACAAACTTGCCCCATGGCTCAGATCATCGGTGAGCATTGAATCGGAACATCATAGGATTTGAACTATCCTGAAACCATAAAAGGCTCAGAATTGACGTGCTTCACAAAACAAACTCTAGGTATGTATCCCCTCGGGGAACACCTTTCGTGATTTGAATTTCATATTCACTCTTTCTGAATGTTCAAGAGGGTTTCAACTATCCTGAAATCATGAGAGGCTCACGAAGACGTTCTCCAGGAGAGAATTGATTTTAGAGGGGGGGAGGGGGGGGGGGGCTGGATTTGAAAAACCAATTCCAGGGGGGGGGGGGGGGGGGGTCTGTATTGAAAAATCAATTCGCCCGGACGTCCCAACACTTGCTTCGCAAAACAAACTCAAGGTATCCCCTAAAGGGCTACCTTTCGTGATTATACATATTTATTATACAAATATATTCTGTATATCCATGTATGTATATAGTACTTCTAGCCTTCTGAAGAAGCAGTGATAATTCAACTATTTTCTCTTTAATACTGTATTTGCTGTGTCCGCTCGGCTTTAAACTAAAGAAGCCAAGGCGAGGAAGCCATCCACAAAAATGGTCGGGGCACCCTTCAAGTGAAGTTGAACGAAGCGATCTGAGCAAATCTTCGATGGTAAAGGAATCATCTCAACCTTGGATTTGCTTGAAATGGTTTCAAGAAAAGGATCCCAACAAGGCCTCTTTTGCTAGAATTAGAAACACAAAATAGAAAGCTACCAAAAAAGCAGATCCAAGCAACCACCACACATGGATGTTTCCGGAAGTGCAGAAGCATATCACCAACGCATAGGGAAGGGAACTCACATGCCCCATGGCTCAGGCCAGTACGAAGCCAAGAGTAGCCTTTGTCTGTAAGGCCCCAGAGCAGCTGACCTGCAAGCACCACAAGGTGATATGGCTTCATCGCTTGATCAAGAAGGGTTACTTTCCATAGGCAATCTTCGGTGTCACAAAGATTTCTCATCACACGATGACCTCAGCTTTCTTCTGCAAAAAAACGCAAAATCAATAACCCATGGGCCTGAACTACTTTGGTATATAGCTCGGTCAAAATGCACTAGATCAGAAGCCCAAGGGACTTAGATGCCCCAGAGACTCTCGAGGGCACTGCTCCACCTTTGTATTTACGATTCGACTCCTCAGGATGTCGAAGGACAAAACCCGAGTCTCTGCTTGAAGCTTGCAAACCTGCCTTACACGACGATCTGCAAGCACAATGCTCGCTGTGGGCTGTAGAAAGCAGGAAGACTTTTGCTTCTGCACAAGACCAAGCATTGACTTGCAAGCAATAGGCGCAGGCACCAGTGAGTGTTGCTGCCACAAATCATCGATGCTAAATTGAAGGTCTTGAAGTAACCTCTTCTGGTGGCCAGAATGCATGCGTATCCTCGCCCACAGATCAGGATCACGCTCAAGCAAAGCTGTCAGATCTTCAACTCTCTCACAACCTCGCGCCTGCAATTCGGCTGCAAGCTGCTGGGGTCGCAAGACACGGGCTTGTTGAAGAAAGCTTTGTATGGTCATCTTCAGGTCTGAAGGCTTGGGTTCATATGCCTTCTGCGCAATGTCCCACCAACTTGCACTGCGATAGGCCATTTTCAAAACCTCCTGGGCCAGCTGCTGATTGTCAAGCTCCGGCGCAGTGGCATTCTGGAAGCCCCAGTATGACGCAACTGCGCCAGAGACCAACGGCACAAGTGCGGCACGGGGCCAATCTGCCTGAGGCAATTCTATGACCAGTGGCACCTGGGAAGAGGGGACAGCATCAACAACCTGAGCCGCAAGCTGGAAATTGTAAGAGACATGCGACAAGAGGTCAAACTCCATGGCAGCCGCTTGATATCTAGAAAATGCTCGCGAGGCAAGGCTCTGAAAACATCAACTTCAACTGCCATTCTTTCGTCTATCTATCTCAGATGCTCTCTCTCTCTTCATAGTGAAGGGTAATCACTCAAAGGCAATCATCGAATCTCCGTGGCTGCGCAGCTCTGCCCCTGCACTACGAAGGGGGTCTTTAAACTGCATCCTTCTCTTTCAGGCGCCAGCATGCAGAAAGTCTTGAAATCTAGTGCCTCGATGCGCAAGTTTGTTGAACCGAGGCTGGAACAAATGCCAACGCGTGCGACTCGGTATGAGCGAGGCAGGAAACAAAATGTTCGGCTACATGAACAGCTTACTTTCAAGGGTCGATATTCAATAGAGTAGTCTAGATCACATTTAACAGCGCAAGATTGCTCTCTCCGCTCGCGCACGCTCTGGCACACACACTCTGCCGTACTACAGCATCGTGTGACTTTCAGGCAGCTGTTACTCCCTCACTTTTTGGGCGGCGGCAGTCCTGAGTGCGACAAAATGCCTTCTGCGAAGAAAGTGCCAGGCCCATCAATGATCAGGTTGTAGGTCCTTTGTGTAGGCGAAGCCTCCCCGATCCTCACAAGCTTTGCCCCAGCATCTCCGCGAACAACAAGAGTCTCACCAATGGTAAGCTCTTTGACAGGCTTGGACTTGTCAAAATGACCCTCATCGAGCGAAACCACTGCCCATCCCTTCTCCTTTGTGTAGAATGGATGTCCTCCAGTGGCCTTGATGGTGAACTCCTTGCCATCTGCAGATTGCAGTAAAAGCTCTCGCAAAGTCCGGCTGGAACTTTCCTTGACCTCAAGCACCGTCTTCACTCGGAGCTTGCCTTTATTGTAGTTCAAAATCTTCTCGCCCACTTTCACATCCTTGATCTTCTTCTTGGATCGGTCTGCCATGGTCACGAGTGTGTCGCCATGCAAGCAGTCTGCAAGTCCCGCCCACTGAGCAAGCACACCCAAAGTGCCAGCAACGCCGCTGCCCAACACCATGCCCTCGGTCACAGCAGCTGCCAGCAGCCCACCACCGAGGCCAGCCCGCCAACTGCGATGCCACCCCACAGCCACCAATTGATGCCATCTTTCGACTGAACAGGAGCTGTGGCATCCAAGTCCCCCTGCGGCATGTAGGTTGCATTGAAGGTCCCGGCACTGAAATGTCCCATGCCCTCTTCGATCTTTTTCTGGATGCCTGACGGGACTTGAAGTTCTGCAAAGACTGTCGGCAGGTCAGCTTCTGCCAGTTCATCCATGTCGCCATATCCAGCCTGACGAAACTCTGTGGCCCAAAATGAAGAGCTAGGCACACGCATCTGCTTGAAATGGTACTGAAGATCATCCCCACTGGAAACGCTAGAACAATCTGAAGCCGCCCTCAGGCTACGAGCGTTCTTGGCCGAACAAGCGGAGCTTGCCTTCTGAGAATCGGGTGATGACACCTGGGACCAATGGTCAGAGTGCTCTGAGGGAGCGACTGTCACGGTCCTCGTGTTGGAAGTGGAAGCCATCGTGCAGCGAAAAGGAAGGCGAGAGCGAAACTGAGCTGAAGATGCTGCGGACAGCTGGAAGGCTCAACTGACCTCCAGTGAACATCCGAACCAAGTGTCAGAATAGGGTGTTGCCTGCGCTCACTCTTTGCACTCAAGATCGCTCAAGCATTCAGCATGATCGAAAAAAGACTCAGAGAAAACAAAGTAACCACTAAAAGCGCTGCAAGATGTCCTCTCATCAGCTGCAACATCTGAATCGGTTTCAGCTTTTTCGTCCCGAAACTTCACTGGCAGCTTGCTTTGATGGCTTTCTTTGCTTCCCGATCTTCACCGAGCAAGAAGCTGCCGGACTGCGGCCCTTGCGATTATTCTTCAAGAAGCAAGGAGAAACGTTGGCACCTGCCGTCACAGTGAGGGTCAGCACAGCACAGTTCACGGCAGGTAGACTTCATCCACCAGAAACTGCCTGGTGCATCTGGGCCGCGTGAAAATTTCACCGCGTCGCATACCGAGATGCGATTTGTAGTCCCTACGTCGCTGCGGTACGGAAACTCCAAGTCGTCACGTGGGCAAGCTTTGAAAGCTAAGATGTGAGATGAGTCAACAAGCGATGCAAAGATCTCTTCACTAAAATTATCTCAAGAACTGCGGTTCTAGTGACTAGTGACTTTGTCTTTTGTGACCCTCTTGCTCCAGCCAAAATAGGCATCTAGCTTGGACTCTACATCCTGTCACTACCACAGGTATCCTTTGCAGAAGCCAAATAACAAGACAGCGAAGAAGCTAAATAACCATCCATCACCACAGGGCGATCGGATCGAACCTAGTTTTTGTTCAGCATTTGGACTTTGCAACTCACAGGCTCACCCCAAAGAAAGAACAAGTGAAATCCACCAATCCTGCGCTTTTCTCAGAGAGCCTTGGTGCACAATTGACCAAAAATTCACCACCTTTCCCCCCACCAAGCCAAGTGTGGGAGCCTGGGAGAGTCTGGCCAAAGGCAGCGGCAAGCAGCTCTTCTGGGAAGCCAAAACTGGAGCCCTCATAAACCAAGTGCCATTTTCCTGGCCACATTTGCAGGTGTGCAACAATAACATTCCACATCATTCATGGACAACTCCAAACTCTTAGGTTCAGGTTGCATAGAAACTCAGCCAGAGAAACTCCAAGAAAAAATTGCGCAAGACATCACAACACAAGGCTGATTTCGGACTTCTTCCTGGGCCCAAGAAATCTCAAAAGAAACTTGCAGACCAAACCAACACAACAGCACATCGATCTCGGCTCGACTAGTCCTCAATGAAAGCACGAGCTCAGGCAGGGCGTTGGGCGTTGCATTGCATTCTTTAGTCACCTTTGAGAAGCAATCTTTCTTTCGATTACAAACGACGTGGCCCACGAGCTGCGCGACACGACACACTTGGGAGAATGAATGAAAGGAAACCCTTGTGAGCCGTCTTCGTGTTCGTGGCTTCGGAGTCTCATATAATGAGCAAACACAATATTATGAAAATACAACTACAGGCCAAGCCATGCCAAGCGACGGAAGGAAAATGTGGCTTTCGGTGCGAAAGCTTGGTATCGTTCGCCCATCTGTCCTGAGAAGGAGATATCTCCAGCAATCAGAACGCAGAAATAAAAACAAAGCTGGCATGTTTAACTCGCCCAAAATCGACCGTCACTGAAGTGGGACGGTCGAGTGACCAAATGCGACAAGAAGTGATTGGAAATCGCGTCTCAAACCCCGACCCGCCGGGGATTTTGTGGTGGATGTTCACCCATGTTCACCCCAACCAACAGCGACACTCCCTGAAATCATCGTGGCAGTGGAGTTCACCACCTGTTTCGTATTCGGAACAACAATCATTTAGTCAAGGGACCATGCCATCCACTTCCATAATGATTTCACGGAGTGTACCAAATCTTGTCGCAAAGGCTCCCCGCTGTTGGTCTGCACACGACCGCGACGTTGACCGAGACGTCCACCACGACGCGGGTTTGGGAAACTCGAAGCTGCGGACGCAGGCTTGCCGGAGTCCTGCGGTGATTGTGATCATCGCGATCAAACCCGCAACGAATCAACATGACAAAACAGACCTGGCAAAAAAAACAATAGAGAGCACACACATGCGAAAAAGAACATTGACATCGGCAGCTCTGGCTTCCTTTTGCCGAAAGCTTCGCTATCTTGCAAGCGCAGGGTTTATGGAATTTGCTGGCGTCGGCCCACCTGCACGCGACAAGAAAGGGATTGTTTGAGGACGCTTCGCATCGTATATAGAGCCAACATCCTGGCCCCAGATCCAGCCCGTCCAGGGTCCTCTTCATGAGTGAGTGTCCCTTCAAACGGAGCGACGTCCACGGGGTGTTCGGCCGGTATCGGGGTTCCACAAATCATCTCCATCAAAACACTTGCCATTCTCCTCGGTCAATTCACCTGAGTGGTTCCAAGGTCTCTTCGGTCAACACCTTCAAAGTCTTTTCATTTCATAGAGTTCTATGGAGTCATAAGGCATAAGGTCTGCTTGGTGTTGATCTATGATGCTTAGTTGATAGATCAGAGATTTGTAACCTTTGGTGATTTGTGAGGGTTTCTGAAATTCTGAGGGCCAGGACATTGGGTTGGTTAGCACCTGAAGGTCCACCCCTGGACTCTCCTGAACCTGGCAAAAGCAGCAAAAGGGGCAGAGCACGTCCTAGATTCCAAATACGGAGTTGATGACCCTTCCAAGCCCTGATTGGGGCAGGAACCTTGGGAAGGCACCAAAATATACCAAAATATGCAACACGCTTTTATCCTGTCCTTCCAAACCTCCTGTCCTGTCCTTGCGGAAGTCAACCTCCTTCTGACCGCGCGACTACAAGCGGCCCAGCCCAGAATCTGCTCCATGCGAACCATGGGGTTTCTCGACTTTCGACGTGCTGCGAGGTAAGTTATCGCCGTCGCATTCGATGTTCGATGGTCGGTTGATCCCCTGGTGTCGGGAATTGAAGAGAAGAGTTTGCAATCAACATTGCATGACTTTGACGCCTGATTTTGAGCACCTCTCACTAATGCGAGTAAATGAACACATTCAAACGTCGCCCAAACTTGGTTGAAGTCAAAACTAGTCGCGCGACAAGCAAAGAAAAACCTTCTGGGAAAGGGCCCGAACACGAACACAGCCCCGCACAAAACGAAATTGAACAAAATCCTGCAACAAAGCATGGGTGATGGTGTTGCATGAATCCGCTACGCACGGCTGCACACCTGGGATCTCCGTCACCCCGTGGGATAGTTGACGTCGTCAAGCCTGTCTGCAGGTAGACCAGACTCGATCAACGATGCAGCGCATGAAAAAGGCCTTGTGACAGACTTTCAGTTCTTTAGTTACCTTGACTCATACCAGAGGTGACACACCCACCACACCTCCTACGCACCGAGAGCCGACCATGCGCAAAGGCTTAATTAAGGCCACAAACACTCCAGTGGTTTCATGTGGTTTCAGGAGTGTGTGGGGGGGTGTTGACTGTGAACTCCCCACGTTGAAAAGCGAATAGTAAGTATATATATTCCAGATCAAACAAAGAAAATGTAAATATACATAAGATGCCATCACCGTGTGGCAGGCTATCCAGGGCGTCTCACTGTTTGCAGATGGTGGCAATGTTCATAAAGCTGTAGGTCATTTCACCCGGATCGGTTTCCTGTTTGGTTTCCCACATAAACATGGTCTCCCAGTTTGACCCTGCCATCTCCTTTCGTGGCTCACGTGTTTTTCGAATTCCACACCTCCGCGGGGTGCTCCCAAGGCACCTGAGGGCTCTCACAAGGCAAGTTGGGCGGCCAAACCTCCAGTTCCAGGGACGTTCGAAAGTGAAATCCAACTCCGGACCCTGCACTGACCCCCCGAGCCGTTCTCTCTTGGAAAATCCAGGTGAACTGAATGTTCCACCTGTTTGAATGAGGTGTTCCCAACCCTCTGACTGGGTAGGTGCAGGTAGTGAAGAGTCTTGACGGGGACCTGTGGCACCCTATACAGCATGGTACACGTCCAGACGCGCCTTAAGTGGAGGTCCATCCCAAGAAAGGATCAAGAGTCCATGGATTATTTTTGGCGCGATGCACCTCTAGCAAGACCTCATGTTGAATGTCAACGGTTTGGATCTCAAGATCGAAAAGCATTCCATCCCCTCCAAACACGTCACGTGCCTCCGCTGTGCTAAGATGTCCAACCCCTCCGCAGTGCACCATTGCCCCAACATTGCCCACGGAAAGTGAAAGCAGTGAAAAACAAGCTGGTAAAGAAAGAACTGATGCACCTCCAGAGGAGTCAACCTACCATGATTTCATGTGTTTGTGTCCATTCCCACACCCCAACGAATGATTCTTTGGAACACTGGACCGCCAACACAAATCTGTAGTCGCCATTATTCAGCTGCGCCATCTGACTCTATCAACAGCTGTGGAAATGCGACAAGCAGCAACAGGCTCAGCATTTCTCAAGATTTGATTGAAGACTACACCAAAAAAAGACAAGAAGGGAGACAAAAAGAAACAGATGGGGGACAACACGGACACAATGACCAACAAGAAGGGAAACAAGAAGAGGGACAAGAAGAGAGACAAAAGAAAACAGAAGAGAGACAAAACGGACACAATCCTCAACAAGAAGGGAAACAAGAAGGGAGACAAAAGGGAACAAAAGGGAAACAACACGGACACAATGACCCTGGCTGGAAAGCGCGCGGGCGATGACACAAGGTAACGATGATGATGATGATGATGATGATGATGATGATGACAAGGGCCACTAGCTATCAGGCCCTATTCCTTCAACAGGAACGGGCTAGTGAGGACCTCCCCTCTCGTCCATGGTCAGCCTGCACTATCTGATCACCGTGATTCTGGAGACCTACTTCAACCGCTGCTTCATCCGGCTACCTGCAGGACCACTCCAAGAACATCACTTTGAGGCTGTTCCAGAGAAGGGCACGGTCATCTTGCCTGCGGTCTCCTTCCTCCTGACATTTTCCTTTTTTCTCCTCCAGGGGTCTGAGATCTACCAGATCACCTCTCAACGATTCTGGAGGAAAAGAACCGCCTCCCAGGTCCTTGCACCTTTGAAAGCAGCTAGCTGGGGTCCCAAGTCCCCAACCAGGGCTGGCATCCACCTCTACCTCCTTGGCGGCCTTCTTGGGATCCACCTCGGGGACTATATGACCAAGCTCAATGCCAACGCCATGCCCTGGTCGCCCGAGGGTTCCGGACCCGCCACAAGGTCCGGTGAAGCCTACACGGTCTTTGCCAATCAGGACACCTTCACGGCAAAGCCAAGTGGCCTTGGGTCCACACACCAACGTCTGGACGGTTACCAGCACTTTCCCAAGAAGAAATCCTACATTCGTGCAATCAAGAGGGCTCAACTCCATGGGCATACTTGGTACAAAGGGAAGCTCTATACAGCTCAGATGCTGGGAGTCACACCACTTCCATGGCAGCTTCCTGAACCTCCCAAGGCCTCCTTGGGGCCAAAGAACACCACACCTCCTGCCAAACTCCTGAAGAACCCACTTCAAGGGCTCAGCTGGAATATAGGCTCTCTGAGTACATACAAATTTGACATCCTCCGGCAATGGATGCATCATCAACAACTTGACATCCTCCAACTTCAAGACACACGCTGGGGATTCAGTGGATCCTCAGATCGAGCTGGAGGGCTCCTGACCATCGTCCGCAAGGCATTTTGCCAACCAGACCGAATCTCCTGGCGTGAGGCCACTCCAGGCCACTCCAGGACGGCTTCTTCATGCACGGCTTTACCTTGACTCCACGGGCATTGACTTGGTCAACCTCTACCAACATCCATGGACTGGATCAGACCAGCTTTGCAAAGACAAACGTTCAGGACTGCTGAGCACATTGGACAGCCTATTGGCTGGCCTTCCCCAACGGAATGTCGTCATCACTGCAGGTGACTTCAACAGCAGCCTGCCTCGAACACCGCACTGCGTTGGTCTACATGACTTTCAGGGTCACAAAGGACGGACATCAGGCACTCAACATCAGGACTCACATCTTTTGGCTGCACTTCTCTCCCGGAGAGGGCTCCTTGCCATCAACACCTGGGATACTATGCTCGGTCCTACCTACCGAGGCGGCTCGGGACATCAATCCAGGATTGACTATGTCCTGGTTCGGCATAAAACCAGTGACTCCATTACCAAGAAGCCCATCTACCTGGAACACCTACCAGGCAAGTTTGGTCACACCAAAGACCATGCGCCGGGTTCAACAAGATCTCCTTCTTCGACACTGGAACCTTCAGAGGGATCACCACTCCTCCAGGGTGGAACAGATCTTTGGATACTGGCTTCGAGTGGCTCGGATTCAACGATGGCGGAAAGAGGCCACCAAATCGGCCAGGGAAGCGAAAAAACTGAAATTACAGGACACCATTGACACCGCCAGGCATCACTGACAACGACACCCGGCGCTACTTCAAGGTGGTCAACTCCTTGACTCCCAAGCATCGACCCCCACGTCCTCAACTCAGAAAGAACGAGGGTATGCTCATGTCTCCTGAAGAAGAACTAAGATGGATCTTAGACTACATGGGAGGGGTTTATGCAGGCTCTGATTTGCAAGGAGTTCATTTTCACCTTCAAGCACTGCCGTTTGGACCAGAAGACATCACCCACACTGAGATCCTTGTATGGACACACCAGTGTCCCAACGCATGTGGCACCTAGCTTCATCTGGAAGTCCATGGCTGAGGAACTGGGTGGCTTGCTACACACTTGGCTCTCCCAATGGATGGCAGCAGGCCACATTTCCTGGGAATGGCGGAAAGGATGGGTGGTTCTCCTTCCCAAGCCCAACAAGAAGGTCACTGAACCCAAAGCTCTTCGTCCAATTGCATTGCAGACCCCTCTCTCGACTTGAGGCCAAGGCCATCTCACGTGTCCAAGCTCATGCCAGGGCAGTTCAAGCACTTCACCACCAATGGCGTTATGAGGCTGGCAAAGAAAAGGAACCAGGGGCAAAGACACCCTTGGTCTTCGGTGGGTGTCAACTTTTTCTTGACATGACGGGAGCCTTTGAGGCGATGCCCAGGGAACACCTGCAAGAGGCCTTTTGTCTTCTTGGTCTTCCCCAAGATCTTTCGGCTCTTCTTTTGAGCTGGCACACTGAAACCTCCTATGTTGTTCAATGGAAAGGACTTTCCGCCGAACAACCCACTCATAGGGGTGTGAGACAAGGCTGTCGGGGTGCACCCTATTTTTGGGCATGCTTCATTGCACTTGTTCTTGACAGAGTGGCGGCAGAGACCTCAACCAACTGGATGAGGCAACGCTGCACCTTTTACGCCGACGACGGGCATGCCTGCTTCATTTTTCATGATTTTGCTGAACTTCACTTCGGATTGGTTTGTTTTG